CGTCCGCTGGGGCCGCCGATGCAGTCGGGGGGGGGTCCCCGACTGCATCCAAAGCGGCCCGGTAATGCCGACGTCAGAGTGCAGTCCTCTGACGCCGGCGGAGTAGTGAAGGGGGGTTGACCAGGGTAGTGGTCACCTCTGGGGGGTGTTCGATCGCCCCCATGGAACGGGCTCCCCGATAAGGGGAGCATAGGCGCGGTGGTGGCGGTGCGTTCACACGAGATCCCGCCACCGCCGAGTTCCGCCCGAGTAGGCTGCTGCGGTGGTTTTAGTGGGTGAGAGTCCCACACTACCTCGTAGACTCACCCCAGAACTCCGAGGTGTGCATAATGCATTTCCCCCGCGTAAAAAAAAAAAAAAAAAGTATTGAAGCCTGACTCCCACTTTGTTGCCATTTTTACCTTCACCACGGGTAGTACTAGAGTCGGCTATGCTACATAGTACTAGAGACGGCTGTGGCTCCGTCTATATATGTCTATGGGTACCGCTCGGAGTGCCGCCTCTTGTTCTATCCCTACTCTTTGTCCATAGTATATAGATCAGTGATTGGATGTCAGGTCTATTCTATATCTTGTCTATGCTTGACCAATACGAATTTTGAAAAACTGTTTATAAAAGTACACAATCAATTATTAATTATTAAAGCGCGAATTAATCATTGTTAGTTTATAGTACCCCGGCATGTTTAACAAGTTTGTCAACAACGTGAAAAAACTCTTAGCGCCCATGCAGAAGCAAACCCACTGTGGGTTACCCACAGCTACTGATGCCAGAATCGTGAGATTTTCGCGCGAGCGCTTACCCTCTCCATGCCTCGCGTGGGTATTTTACCCAAGCATATTCTAGCCTGTCCGTGAGCTCTGCCCCCACTACGTCCTACTCGGCGACTCACCAACACAAGCGTTTTCTACCTCTGTCCGTGTACGCTCTGCTTCGGGTGTTCTCGGCGAAAGTCTACGTCACGCGTTTACGACGCGACGGCCGAGTGGCCCAAGCCAGGTCAAAATCCCGTATCCCAAGCAATCTAAACGCCGAGAGTCGAGAGCAGCATGAATTCTCTAACGCCCTCATGACGAGGACCCCGTCCATAACCCCGTTCGAATCCCGATGCGACGCTTTTATTTTTTATTTTTAATTATTGTGTAATTTTAGTTTGTAATTTGCCAGTAAAATAAAAGGTTCAACAATATTAATTTAAGAAGCATTTTACAAAAATGGGAGATGTATTTATTACTCTTTAATATTTAAATTTTATATTACACAAATATATATTCTCTTATATATACTATAGGCAAATTATTCTTACAATTAGATGTTACCTTCATTCTAACTATTGCAGTACGTACATATGAAAACATTGGAAGAAAAATCCATCACATTAATATGTTACGTACTGTAAAATGAAAGCTTGGAAGATATTAACTTCAGAAACGCTTCGTTGTCATATTCGGTAGTAGTACTATTATTCCAATTGCGGTTTAAACTATGTGCATATGTACTTCTTTTCAGATATAGAAAAGTAAAGGACCGACGCCGAGAGCAGAATGATTTCTCTCACCCGCTCGTTCATGATGAAGAGCCTGTTCGTATCCTGATGCGACCGTTTTAGTTTTTATTTTTAATTATTGTATAATTTCACTTTGTAATATGTCAGTAAAATAACAGCTTCGAAGATATTAATTTGAGAAGCATTTTCAAAATTCGATTTTTGTATTAATGATATATTTCGCGTTTCTGAGAACCGTTGCAGTAGGTCCACGCACATGTGATGTTAGTAGTCCTTTACTTTTCTATGTCTGAAAAGAAGTATACACATAGTGTGAACCGCAATTGGAATAATAGTACTACTACCGAATATGACCATGACGCGCGTATATGAGCAGGTACTTAGGGTGAGACGTATCTGACCGCAACGCGGGCAACCCTATCGTAAATGGAGGCAATAACGAGACTGCACGGTGGCTCATTGTAACACATAATTTGGAAATGTCTTTATTACCGGAAAGTAGGACGGTATTGAATTCTTAGAAACCATTTTAACGTAAAGGGACTTTGAATTAGGTGCAATTATACGCGCGCCGAATACATTATTGTCCGATTATTTCAAAAGGGGTTGTTAGGAATTTCCCAGATTTTGAAAGAAGCATTTTAGCCGCCCAAAGAAATTAATATACCGTGAGTAAAGAAAGTCCATATTGAGGACGGAACACTTGTGACATTATTTACAGGACAAAAAGAAAAGACGATGTGTTGTATGTACATGCATATTATCCATGCTCACCGACATCAAATCAACAAAATGCATATGCGTGGACCAGCTTAACAAAAAAATCTGATTTTGAAAATGCTTCTCAAATTAATATCTTCCAAGCTTTCATTTTACTGTACGTAACATATTAATGTGATGGATTTTTCTTCCAATGTTTTCATATGTATGTACTGTAATACTTAGAATGAAGGTAACATCTAATTGTACGAATAATTTGTGTATACATAAGAGAATATGTATTTGTTTAATATAAAATTTAAATATTGAAGAGGAATAAATACATCTCCCATTTTTTTAAAATGCTTCTTGAATCAATATCTTCGAAGTTTTTATTTTACTGACATATTACAAAATGAAATTATACAATAATTAAAAATAAAAAGTGAAACCGCCGCATTGGGATTCGAACAGGGTCTCTTGACTGTTGCTCACGCGCTTAGGTTGCGGGGCATCGCGTCGAGAACGTGAATTTTCGCCGCAGTGATATTCGAACAGGATTTCCAAGGCAGCAGGATGGTAGAATCGTGGTACGGTTTACCCCCACTCTTTTCTAAATATAGCTCACCGTCTCTCGACGGCCAGCGCACGCGGCAGGGCTTGGATATGCTTGTGTGTGCCAGCACGGTGGACGTAAAGTGGGGGTAGCCGGGACGTCATAGTGGGAGAGTGGTGGGGGTAAACAGTACCACGATTCTGGCATCACTGACTCGGTCGTCGCGTCGTAAACGCGTGACGTAGACTTTTGCCGAGAACACCCGAAGCAGAGCGTACACGGACAGAGGTAGAAAACGCTTGTGTTGGTGAGTCGCCGAGTAGGACGTAGTGGGGGCAGAGCTCACGGACAGGCTAGAATATGCTTGGGTAAAATACCCACGCGAGGCATGGAGAGGGTAAGCGCTCGCGCGGTTATCCCACGATTCTGGCATCCCACAGCCATATTGTATTGTATTTCCTAGCACTAATCCGTCCGTTATTTCTGTAATAAATATTGGAGTCTATCGTAAGATTGCCCATGACACATGATGTACAAATGAAAATTTTTTTACTGGTCATATTTGATGTCAATTAGTATTTCCATACGCAACTCTTAGTGCAACAAGTTGTACATACGTATGTATGTATCTTGCATCGATCTTTTGGATACTTGCCTATATGTCCTTGCGCCGTGGAATAGATATAGTCGTGAAAAATGGCTGGTTTAAAAGGAATAAGACAATTATCGACTAAAATATCAACTTCAAATTCCTCTAGTTCTCTTGCTAGTCAAAATTCTGCTACACTCTTTGATAAATGGCGTGAATTCATAAAACGTAAGTATTATTCTATAACACAGATGGTCTTTCATCTCATTAATAGGTTAAGCCTTGTTATTATGTAAGAATTGTTTAGGAAATCAGTTCAAACTACATTGAAATTGATGTATAATAAATCTTTCCTTTTGAAACAATCGAAGAAAACCTTTTATTTTATTGATTACACGGAGATTGAATTTTGTTTAACTTAAATTTATTATACCCATGAAGTTTTATTTGCCCCTCCTATCCTTTAGGCACAGTTGTTTTCTGCCTCCAAAAGTATTGTTTGTGGTTAAAACAAGATATTTCATTCCTAAAGAATAATACCTCACTTACATTTGTTCTGATTTTATTTGTATATTATGTACAATGGTTGTTACATGTTACTTGTAATATTCTTTACATGAATTCATTTATATAAAGGACTGGCACTTAGATGAAACATAAGTCATAACCACCGATCTTGCTACATGTTGACATTTGGCTTTAGGTTTTTAGTTTTTGAAAAAAGTCTTCTAATTTTTTTATGGAAAGACTGTTATCCATTATATTATAGAAATGCATGATATGGTATACCAGCACAAGTTTCATTTATTTCTTTAGAAATGTTAAAAATAGTTATCTTAGAACTTAATTATATTTGTTCTCGTTAAATGTTAATCTTTATGGATAAAAAAACAATTTGAACTTTGGACATCTGTTTTCATCTGTGGTTTATAGCTATAGCACTGAAGAAATGGATACCTGGAATGTACCCTGAAACAGAGGAAGAACGAAAGGCAGCTGCAGAAAAATATGGTTTGCATCCATATGAATATAAACCTTATCCAAATGATGAGCATAGTGTTGGAGATTATCCAGAATTACCACAGCTTAGTGTTGAAGCTCAAGACCCCTATTATCCATGGGATTTCCCTGCTTCAAGAAGGAATTATAATGAACCTGTAAGTCTATGGTGTTATTACATTTGAAGTTACATGTTTGCATTTCACAATATTATATAATATTTCTTAATATTACAGGTACATAGACATTTTGACATAATGGGACCAGATCACGTTGCTTATGGTGTTCGTACACGAGAGGATTATCACAAATGTGCTCTAATATTTGTAGGCCTGATTGTTTCCTATTTAGTTTTCTCGCTGCACACAGTAGATACAAAACCTGCTTTCGTAAGAATAACATAATAATCATAATATCCATAAATATTGTTTTCAGTAATTAAAACAGTAACATGTTATTTTAGGCAGAAAAACAGTATCCTGGAAAAGGAAAGGTACATTATACTTTTGAACCTGCGAAGTGAAACTGTAAATACCAACTATGTAGTTGAAAATAGGTATAATAAGAAAATCATACAAATATTATAATAAATGAATAAATCATTTAATGACACTGCGCGCGCGCGCGCGTGTGTGTGCGTGCGTCGCGTGCGGGTGTATATATATATATACACATACACCGGACCAAAAATTATCGACTTCTTTTTATATCTTCTGGTACTGTACAACGAGTAGAATCTGAAAATGCAAGTGTTAAGTTTAGGAATCCAGCGGTTCAAAAGTTATGCGTATGTAAAACCAAGCATTTTTAGCGTACTTTACAGGTTAGTTTAACGCCATATTGACTTCTATACCAAATTCCTCCAATCAGTGGTGTCACTGCTTGTAAGGAGATGCACGGGACGGCGGCCATTTTGGCGGGATAATTCAAATGTGCTTGTAAAAAGGAATCAGGTAGGTTTGATCACTGACTAGGTATAGGATAGACCTATCATCTTATAGGACTTCGTGTCTCATGTTCTGAAATACCGACAGTGTAAAAAGTCAAGGATTTTCTGCTGCCCTCTACGTTATGAGAACGGTGAATTTGTGAACTACGTTAAATCTAAGAAGGGATTATGGTCGTGAACGGATTCTCTTCCGTCCGTTCGCTATAAAGTAGACGTATTAAAAAGGAGTCTTCGGTTCTCATCCCGACGGACCTATATTAGTTTTTCTTCGCGTACAAAAAAGTTATTGCGTTTAATATTGTTTTTATGGATATGTATATGTATTATTATTTACATTTTAGTAAATTATTTTATTGTTCCATTGTTATTACAACAGTTTAACAGTGACAACGAACGCATGCATATTTTCAAATATTGGACTAATAGTATATTTTTACTCTATATTATTATATATAAGTGAGTAATACGTATCAAAAACGTAATCGAAACACAGATTTTTGTTATACCACAAACATCGCATAAAAGATATTTCGTTACATTTGTAATAATTATGGATGTTGGAAGGAAATCAATATTATTGACATTATGGAACACATAACAAAATATCACTGTATCACTTAAAAAAGTCTTAAAGTTCCATTTATATCATTGTCCTGTGAAAATGTTCATACTTCCAGCAACATTCATATTCTAATCAAAGAATTTACAGAATAAGGAAAAGGAATCTAAAGTAATTTTCAGTAGTTCCATACATCTTTATCTCGAATACTTTTCTAAAACATTCAAAGTACTAGACATTTTTACACTTTGAATCTCATATCGATTTCTAAAATAATCCTAATTCGATATAATATAGAACGTGGTTTTATGAGATAGATTCGAAGTTCGCAGCCATTAACTCGATATTGTCATCAGTTTACAGTACTTTACCGTTGTACAGTACCAGAAGATATAAAAAGAAGTCGATAATTTTTGGTCCGGGGAAGTAAAGTTTAACCATAATTTTTTTTAAAAACTTGTTTACCACTTATATTTTTGAAATTCTATCTATGAACTAATAAATTTCTAAAAGGTAAATGCACCAATGCTGAAAATTTAATGACATAATCTATACATATATAGGTACATACATACGTAACCACTAAAGCAAAATTTCAGTCGACTAAAAACTATCGATGAAATAATCGATAGTATGTTGCAACTAACTAGTAATTAATCGATAGTGTCCATTACTAGATCCAGCTCAACCCGCCCACTGCAAAAGTCTAGGGATTAGTAATCCCGAATTACCCCGATTACGCAGTCCAATCTGCTTTAAAAGAATTATATAATATATCGTATATATTTTGGTGACCGTGACCATTCATGACCAGCAATGACCAGTGTAAGCTGAATGATTATTTTATTCAATGGTGTGTTTAATTCATGAGTCAAAATTTATGATTTAAATTTTGGAAGAAATTTGTAAAGAAAGCTCATAGTTGTGAAAAGTGAAAAAATTGGTTCCCCACTGTTCAGTAAATATGGAACATGAAATGTATTTATGCCGGAAAATAAACATGTCGATCCCTTTTTATAATTATGAATCCTAAAAATGACATGCTAACAACCATCCATAATTTACTGTATGTTATGTCAATATTGCAGCCTCACGGTTATGTGGATATGGACTTCCGATGATTTATCTTTTTGTTAACTGATAATTCCCTAGAAGTGTTTAACAGACCAAATGTTTATAGTACGTAACCTCTCTTGGAGTTATGTTATGATTAAAAATGACTTTGGTATTTACATTGATAAATATTATAACAGTATAGTGCTTCTGGTGATTGTTATTTTGAATAATTATTTTGTATTTATTAAAGACAGAACATTTTCAAAATATTGATAATAGATCATTTATCTATACTTTGTAAACCGAAACTGATGTTTTATGATAAATTGTTTGTATGTATGGAGTTAAATATACAAATTTGTTGTAATTATAGATATATAATGGAGGATAATTGATGTTCTTTATAATTCAACAATACCTCATATAATAAATGGAAATAATATTAGGCAGTCTATGGAGTTGACAATGACACATTCATCGATTGCAACCAGATCTATACCATTTATTAGTATAAGAGATTTTAATTTCAGTGCCAGTACCATGGAACACTCTAGAATATTTGCAAATAATATATCATCTACTATAGAAGAGATCAGGCCTTTTGTAGAACATGTACGTGTAGTAAGTGTACTTCTGTAATATATATCTTAACGCATCCAGTATATTAATATGTTTAATAATCATTTTTTTATCATTTTGTTTGTAGCAACCTGGAATTTCATTAAGTTCATTATTAAATATTCAAAGAATACAAACTCCATTAAGTACAATAATTCCTTCAGCGGATAATTATATAATTAATATTGAAGATCAACCAATAAGTGGTACACATCCACATAATGGTCCCGACCATAACCATCATCATCATCAAATAACTGCAACAGATAATTTTTTAAATAATATTCGTGAAGCTGCAAATGAAGTTGTAGGAGAAAACCACAATAATAATAGTAACATTGCCATTAATCATAATAACAACAACAATAATAATAACATAGAGGAAAATTCTGCAGATGCACTACAAGGTAGTGTAGAAGCACGTGCATTACTTAGAGGATTTCGAAAGTACATCCTCTTTATTTCTCTTCTACTTGCAAAAGGTCTTTATGACCATAAAGCTGGTGTTTTCAACTTCATAGTATTGTTTGTTACGTTTAATCATGCTAATAATGTTGTGAAACGTGAAATTGCAAAACAAAATAATAAAAGTTGGATTTCACTTTTAGTTATTACATGTTATGTTCTTGCATGTATAGTTTTTATAAATTTTGAATATGATACACATATATTTTCTCCTTATACCCAGCCTCTTACAATCTGGGAATTAATGTGGTCAGTTTTGATAACAGATTTTATTTTAAAACTCATTACCATTGTTTGTAAAGTGTTTTTAACATGCCTACCCTCCAAACTTTTGGCACTTCGACAAAAAGTAAGTTTCAGTGTGTGGTAGTTTAATGATATTAATAATATATTAAAAACTACAAGAAGATTGTTTTTTTAGGGGAAATATTATCTCGTGTTGGAAGCAACATCTCAATTTTATCGATGTATTGCACCTGTACAGCCATGGTTATATTACTTTTTTGAAGCATACCAAGGTCCTGAAAAAATTTTAGGAGTGTTTATCTCTGTATTATATATAGTGAGTAAGGGAACTGATTTATTATCTTGTTTGAAGTTACTTCAAACTGCAGTTTGCAAATTATTCCAAAACATGGTATGTATTGTAGTCTTCTTAGGAAAACCCTGTATATAAATTTGGAGGAAATTAACGATTCATAATTTTATAGAATTTGGGAGTGTCACCATCCAAAGAACAGTTAATGGCATCAGGTGGCATCTGTGCAATTTGTCATGAAGAATATTCAATGCCAGTGAGATTACATTGTAATCATATTTTCTGTGAAACATGTGTTTTAACCTGGTTAGACAGAGAACGTTCGTGTCCGTTATGTCGTGCAGTAATTACGGATGATCCTATTTATCGAGACGGCCATACAACTTATTCTATTCAGTTATATTGACTGTTACATAATATACACTTATTTGCTTACACTTTGTTTACTTTCTATATTAATCATAAATAAAGACTGAACGAAACTGTTAAAATTTGCAAATAGTTTTGACACAATAGTAATTTTTTCTACTATCACGTTTTCTGATCTAAGGAAACAATTATAGAATGTAGTTGTTGTTAGACTTTTTCTCCAATTATACAAAAACTTTTATTTTATTTTCAAAAAGTTAAAGTTGCACTAGATGAGGAAGTAAATTTTGTGTTAACAACGCATATCAATGACATGTTTAAATATTTAGGATACTTTTATTTGTATATAAAGGAGATGCTTTGTTATGGGTAACACAATGACAATTTAAGCAAGTGTATAGTATGCAGTAATTGTCTTTCCTATTTTTAATTCTTTAAATGATGCTAATTATTATGAACGAAAGTACTAATTTTTATATTTTACCTTAAAATAACTGTTAAGGTAAAAATGAACTGTTTTAATGAAGATAAAGTGTTAATATTAGTTAAAAATAACTAAAAACAAAGTGGAATAATTTATTGTAATAAAAAAATGCAGATCCATTATTGGTAATGTAGAAGCACGTACATTACTTAGAGGATTTCGAATTTACATCCTCTTTATTTCTCTTCTACTTGCAAAAGGTCTTTATGACCATAAAGCTGGTGTTTTCAACTTCATAATACATTGAAACGTGCTAATAAAAGATATAAAGATAAAGTGTTAATATTATTGAGTTAGAAGTAACTAAAAACAAAGTTGAATAATATATTATATGAAAAAAAATTAACAATAAAGTTAACTGTTTACGAATAACTTTTTTTTGTAAAAGTTAACAGTTCCATGCAGTCTCCAGTCATGGTCTTCCAATTAAGATTTAATGTATATATAGAATTTTCTTCAATTTTTTTTATAACACTCTTGCCCTTGCATTGTTTTCTTAGCAGTCGTTACTTTGTTAATATTTGTAATGAGATGAATTTATTTTTTAGAGAGTGATACGAAACTGAAAACTCAATTTGCAACATTCGTTGAAACAATCAATTGTATAAATTTTATGAATTTGTAAAATACTTTGTACATAAGACTTCAGTAATAAATACGCGTATAAGATAAAATTTATGTTTTGAAATTGCATTATTAAAACGTTAATTGTGGAGAACAATTTTCTGTTGACGTTGCATACTATTAGAACCAGACAATGATTTTAGTCGACTACCGGTTCGCATACACTTTATGAAAATAATACAAAATTAAAAAGCTTCGTCTGTGTATTGTTATATCACATTTAGTATTTGTATGTATTCAAATTTTTTTTATTTCGTACACAATAATGAACATTAAGAGTCCTATATGAAAAGGTTTTGTATTAAGTCTGTACAAAATTGACTTAAAATCTAAACTGTTTTCATTGCTGATTATAACTAAACATTTGGTCACCAACTATAGACTGTTATATGTACGTAATGTAAGTAACATTACACTGTAGATAAGTTTTATTAATGTACAACATAAGTACTTTCTTTGAGACGTTATAAAACATATTGTCATACAGGACTTTAACACTGACAATAAAGTAATTACTATGTAAAGGTGTTACTTTAGTATACATAGAAAAATAGTTCATAAAACATTAGTTTTTAAGCATGCCTGAAAGTATTCTCCATCTCCTTTAGTTGCTTGTTTGTTTATCTCTTTATGACGTTCTCTGCTAACTATTTCTTCTAAGATTTCTCCGTCGCCTTTAATTAATCTGTGAAAATATGAAATTGTTTATGTCATTTATAATTTATGAATTCAAATAAACCCATTCTTGTTTTTTGAATTACCTATATCTTCCAGTTTCTTCATCATAAACTCTGCGTATTATACCTTGTTTTTTTTCCCATTCTTCTTTCGTCATAGGTGCCATTGCTCTTGATTTTTCTGACATTTCTTGTGAAACGTCTTTAGAAACATTATCCTTAGACTTTTCAGTGTTGCGCGACTTTTTTTTGGAAGATGACTTCTTTAGCTTCTTCTTTAACTTTTTTTTCATCCTTTTCTTCTTCCTACGTTTTTTCATAACTTTCTTCAATTTCTTAGCTTTTCTCTTTGCTTTCTTGCGTTTCCTTTCATCCTCAGAAGTATTAGAACTGCTACTGCTGTCACTACTATTGCTGCTGGTACTGCTAGAACTACTACTACTGCTACTATCACTACTGGTACTGCTCACACTTGAAGAACTTGAAGAAGATAAAGACCTTTTTCTTTTCAACCTTTTATGAGTAGAATGTTCAGTCTTTTCTTGTACATCTTCTTCTCTTTTTTTGTCTTTTCTTTTTTGACAAGGGTCATCTGCACTACCTTTCTTTGATTCTAGTTTATCAGTGTTAGAACGTTTTAAATGCCTTTCTTTTGAATTACTTTCTCTTGAATGCTCACTGGAATCTTTTATATCTCTCTGATAATCATGGTTCTGACTGCTAGTACTTCTAGATCTGTTGTACAGTGGCCTTCTGCTACTGTGATTTGAAAATCTATTATTCCTTCTTTCATTATTGTATTTATGATACTGTGAATTATTATACATCCTACTTCTATCATAAAATCCAGGGTGTTTGTATGGTCGATAGTTAAAGTTACGTTTGCGATTATCCATGTATCCCATTCGTCCTTTATAATATCCTCTACCTTCCCTTGCATTCATTTGGTACAATCTGACTCCATTTTCATATCTTTTGTCCCATTTATTGCTTCTTTTATCTCTTTCGTTTTGGTGTTTAGCTTCACGACTGGAACTACTGGATGAACTTGAATTGCTTGAACTACTTCTATGTTTTGACTTCTTTCTTTTATCTTTGCTACATGCATTACGTCTGGTTTTCTTAGTATTAGAATCATCGCTCTGTGAAGACACTGATTGCTTTTTATCTCGTTCTTCTTTAACCTTAGTACATTGTTCTGCTCGAAAATCACTTCTTTCTTTGTTACTCATTATAATTTTTTCTAACTTTCAAAGCTACATAAATCTAACTTAGATTCGGTTTTTATGTCTTTTATCTTGTATTTACCGCTAAGTCGCATTGATGATTAACCTTTAATCGAAAGGAAGGTTCCTCAGTGGAAAATATTCTCGGATGGAATGACAGACAAGACTCATTTATAGACAGATGCGTTAATGATAAAATAGTGCTAAATATTTCTCGAATATTTTCACACTATCAATGTTCTGATACATCCCAATAGTACGTAAACGTAACTAACCTTGATCTAACAAATTACACTGTGTTCCTCATCGATTTCCATTTCAAAAATTTGTCGAAAATTAAGGCAACCTTTCATGATGAAATGACGCACGAGGAATTTACTTAGGGTTTTTCATGATAATTTTTCAAGTCGTTGGCAAGCAGTCAGTTGTGAAATGCATTTTGCGATACAAATATATATTGAACTAGAGCGATGCATTTAAATTTTGCAATCTTTTAATAATTCTTTTCCTTATAATATTATTTTGTTCAATATTTTATTAATACCAATCTTTATACACCTAAATACTAAACTTAAAACCAAAACTTCTTCAATTTCGTGGTTACTTAATTCTGAGTTCTATAAATCTATACGCTTTTTAATCGTAGAGGTAATAAATATTCAATTGTTTTATAACTCTTTTATTAAGCATAGATTTTCCTATTCAAATTTCGGTGAACACGTTTCATACAATGATTCCGTTATAAGGACATTTTCAAACATCTTTCGGATCTTTAAATATATCGGTTTTTATAGTATCGCTTTTACATAATATTATAAAACAAGAAATAGAATGAAGAGGATTGGTGACAAATGTCATTGCAAAGACAAAGTAATTTATTAATTTATATTAAAAAACTACGTGAAAACCCTTTAATAAATTTAGTCATGCTCTCATATATATGTTTTGTTTACAACATAGTAAAACTTTTAATAGAAAATAATAGTTTCTATTCGATTACTAATTTTGTAAAAATTATTCTATAGAAATATAAATTCTCGTAAATATGCGTCGTTTGGTGATTACTTTCAATATTATTTCCAACTAATAAGAAGGATATGTATATTTTACTGGATAAATTACAAAATTGTAACGGACAGAGACTCGTAGTTTTGACATGAATAATAAATACAGTGATAGTTACTATATCGGTATATATCGAATAATAAACCGATTCGCATGTCAGAGGTTATTTAATTTTACTAATTATTTAAAATGAGAAGAAAATCAGTAAACAAGAAACATGAACTTGATTATAGTGTTACATATAATATTTCATTGGACTTTGTTGCCATTATATCAGTGTTCGATAACAGGAGTCTATACTGTTTGTAGATTCGTAGTTAAAAAAACTGATTTATATTTGAGAGTTACAAGATCCGACCACTAAATGATCGCTATGCGAAATTAAAAATAGTTTGTCCGAATGCCAGCAGCGTTTGTTGGCCCCCGTAACTTTTCTCGCAGTTTTGAAACTAGTATATACATATATATTTTAAGCAGTATAATCAGTATTATATAACTTAAAATAATTGTTACAATTATTAAATTAGTTTTTTTTTATTGCGAATGAACACTTATTTCTCACAATTACTCGTAAACTATTCGTTGTTGTACGAAAAAGTGACTGAAGCAAAACTTGCATAATTTCAACACAGCTAGCACTATTATTTTTTTTACATTGTATACACATCAAGTTTGCAGTACATCAAATTGAGGCAAAAACCGGAACAAGGTTTACGCGAGCTAATTTGTTCCATATGTTGTTGCCAATTTGTGGCCTATTTTGCATCGAACTTGTAGCTGCAACTTTATAACAGACATTGGACAAAATTTGGCTTTGCAGGTTTGGCTGATTGGGTAGTGAACAAAAAAAATTACATTGTAATTTATGAATTAATTAATTTAACAGAATTGTATATTAATATAGTGTAAAACTTAAAAAAACAAAACACGAAAAATAAAGAAACATGCAGAAACATCCCTGTCAGCCAAACTCGCAAAGTCAAATTTAGTCCAATGCTTAATATCAAGTTGAGATTACAAGTTGTACGCAACTCTTGTAGCATATTTGTGACACATTGGGGCAGATCATAGACATAGAAATGAAGGGACGAGCGTAAGGCTTACGCCCTGGGCTGAGTGGCGGCAAAGCAGCTTCCGGGGAGCGGAATTGAACAATATTCTGAGCCATATTGGCGAGTGGTTATGATCGCGCAAGCGCATGGCTTTGATCTTGTTTTGATCGAGTAAAAATTAACCCTAAATCTGCCGAACCACTCAGGTAAATAGGAATTAGCACGGCAAAACCAGTCATTTGACCAGTCGTGGTAGGTTTAGTGTTAATTGCACTATAAAATCTACAACAAAATTTATTTTCTTATAGTAATAGTATAATAAATGTTTATCCTTTCCACGGCCGCCATGACAATGTGATCGTGCTGCCACCTATAGTCGCTTAAGGGGTCTCCCTAGTGTGACGCGCTAGAAATAAGGCAATCTTTGAGAATTTTTTAAAAGAAAAATACTTCGTGATACAGTTCCAAGTTTTGAGCATTTATTCATTGACATTTAAAGAATGTATTTAAATTTTTGTAAGCAATAATAATTATTATATTTATAGTTATCGTGGTTATAAAACGACCTCGAAAAAAAACACGTGTTGCTGGCGAACATGATTGCCGCTGTTGTAGCTATCTGAAACAGAAAAGGCAAGAAGATTCTTAATCTGTATGAGTGTGGCTATAGCCGGAACTAGAACAAAAGAAAATCGACAAAAAATACAAAAATGGCAAAACTTTAAAAAAAAAT